TTTGTTTTATTTTATTTTATTTATAAACTGCATGGATGTGATTGTGTCTGAATGTTCTGATTAGCAGGAGTAGATGTCTCACGTCATCACGCTGTAATTGTGAACGCGCACTTTCCGGCAATTTTTCTTTATGCGTTCACACATCGCAGCATTCCGGCGAATTACCGGTAATGTTACAACTTCTTTTTCCGGAAAATGGCCGGAATGAATTTACCAGTATATTAAAAAAGGACCTGTTCAAACATGATCCTTTTCCAGAAAATTGCCGATAATTTTCCGCAAAAGTCTGTATGTGTGGATGGGCTATTGGCTGCATGTTCTAGTCCTGTTTTCTAGTGAGCACATGGCTTGTGTTGTCTTTGTGTCATGTGCTCTCCTGTCTATTGTCTAGTCCCACAGCTGAATGAACCACCAATTTATCCAGCATTATGTTTTTCGCAGCGGATGCCCTTCCAGCTGTACCCATAACTGGGAAACCCCTATACACTTCTATTCACACACATACTCTCGGACAATTTAGCTTACTCAATTCACATGTACCGCAGGTTTTTGGACTGTGGGGGAAACCGAACCCCCTGAGGAAACCCAATGCGAACACGGGGAGAACATGCGAATTCTACACAGAAATGCCAACTGACCCAGCCAAGGCTTGAACCAGCAACCTTCTTGCCGTGAAGAGCGCTACCCACAGCGCCACCATGCTGCCTTACTTTTTTTTTTTTCGTAATACAAACCCCATATTATTTGCCGCACTTGAGTCCTAGCTCTTTTTCCCACCCACCAACCGTGACAGGAAGGTAGAAATGAAATATTTTACATCACAGTATTTAGGTACAGAAATTGAATAATCAAATATAACCTGACATTGTGTAGTCTTCATCGGTTGAATAATTCAATAAATACATCTTTATTAGACTTACAAACAGTACAATTGCTTGTGTCTGAATGCTTACACTGTCATTGGCCTTAAGAACACATGTAAATGATCACTTTTCACATTATAGTTAAACTCTTTAGTGAATCCAAAATTCTGGTTCTGAACTGTGGCTCCTAAAAAACTATAATCCAAACACATAAACTTAACATTGCATTTCATGCAATGTGACTATTGCACATTGCAATATTGATGTTGAAACTATATGTTGTGCTGCTCTAGTATATGTTACATTTTGGTAAAGGTATAGCTGCTTGTAACCTCACCCAAGGTGGAAAAGCTTCTAAAACGAGCTGTGCTGAACCACTTCATGCAATGCAGTGGAAAAGCACCTTATCATGCTAATCAGCCCACACTGTAAACCCTAATATGTTGTCTTTACTTAAACAATCAAGTAAAGTTAATTGAACAATACTTAAATTATTGCACTTTGGCCCTGTAACCGAAAAATATGAGTTCATTTAACTTATATACAATGAAAATGCATAAACTTAAGATTTCAAGTATAGTAAGCTTAAAATCACAATCCTTTGAAAAAAATGGGTCATTATTAATGTAGTCTTGACTGTGAAATTCTAATATGTGCAACCTTTTAGGGCTAGGTCTTTTTTTAATTAGAAAACAAGGCTTCATGCATAATTATTCACTATTCATTATTAATTATTGGAATAAATGGCTACTTATTTTCTTTTTAACATATTTTTCATAGCATATAATTACACACACACATAGAAACACACAGTGAACTGAACAATTTAAGTATAATCTACCAAACCGGCAAGTTAAATACCAAATAAATTGAGGCAATGAGTTTACTCAATTAATTTTGTTCAGTCAACTTATCAGGGTTTTCAGTGCATTGGGGACACATGGAGACATGATCTGAATATTACAGCACAAAGATATACCTTTGTATAACATTAATCTGACTAAATGTCTTGAGTTTTTTGTGCAAATGAAATGTGCTGCTATGTGTAGATGTTAATAATGTGTAGCCTTGGTGCTTTTGTGTTGAAGCCCAAGCTACTGAACAAGAGTATATGCTGCTCTCTTATCAGCCGACTGAAGGCTGATCAAGAGGAATGTCTGAGGTGCAGTCAGCACAGTTTGGGTTGGTAACGGTTGCCAGGCAACACTGCTTCAGTCTGTAATAGTTGCCAGGCAGCACAGCTTCAGTTTGGCAACCACTGCTGCACAGCCAGAAATGCCTTTTCTCTCTCTCTGTTTAGTGCTTGCATCCCATTGGCTGAAAAGTGCCAAGCCCAAAATAGTGAATGAATCCTTTTTTTTGCTGGCATTTGGCCTCAAACTCCTTGAAGGATGTAATTAGTAGACCCTAAATTCTGGTATCATTATCTTTCTTTATTCGTCTGTTTCCGTCTGCTTTTAAAGAAGTCTGAAAGACTGTAACTAAATCACTGTTCCTCATTTTAGAGAGGATGTGAGTTATAAAGGAAGTTGATTTTTCTTCTGCAAGCATGTCTGTTGTCATGGCAACAGCATGGTAATGGCAGCCCAGATCTGAAGTTGTAATAGAGTGCATTAGTGCCTGTCTCAGGAGAACTACTACGTTATGTCATTTACAGTGCTTCATAGGGAGGCAGTATCAATATTTCCATACGCACAAGATTCTTGCTTGGTATCGATACCTATAAAATATCCATATTAAAAGGATATAAATACTAAACGTGGGTTTCTGTAAATACTCACAATTTATGTTAGTATTTTAGTTTAATCATATTTTTGCAATAATTAAATATCTTCTTAATAATTAAGATATAAAATACTTGTGTAAAGTAATATTTTTAAATAACTTGTTCTCAATTCTCTTGGTGCTAATGCTCATTATGTCGTCAATGGAATTTGCATTTAACTGGTCCTATGTAAAAAAAGAAACAATGTTTTAAAAGTTGTATACAAACAGATGGCATCAGCAAAAGCATGTACAGTTGACTGACAACTTCTTCATTCACAACCATGGCCTATATGCAGACTTTTAATATTCAGTCAGCCTGTTCAAGAACTTTCGTTTCCCCCCTGTCATGTCTTTAAAGTATGACAATGTACTTTACCCCAGTATTTTCTATGGGGTTTCTGCATTAGCCTGCTGCTACTAATGGCACTTGCATTTACACGGTCATCTCGTTTTATTCTTGAACAACTAAATGAATGCTTAAGTCTATCTACTGATTGTATTTTAATTACATTACACTATCGATGCTGTAAAAAGAACCGTATAAAATTGAAAATAGTTACATTAAGCTTTCACCAGAAGTTTATCATTTGCTCAGAACACTAGCTTTGCACATTTATGGTTTTAAAAATGTTTACTTATAAAGAAAAGGAAGGGAGTTTTTATTTGTGCAAAACTACTTATTTTAGTCTGAGTTTGAGACGGATGTCCATTTGGGGAATGATACATTGTAGACTGAGGTGTTTGTTTCTGTACAATTCAAAATGAAGTCAAAACAAGATCAGCCACTGAGATTATTTGGAAAATGGTAATTTGACTACTAATTAAATCAGTGTCTTTTAGCAAATCAGTTGAATGATTCAGCAAGTCACTTGGTTGCTGTCGACTGCCATAATGATGTAACCAGCAGAAAGTGTCACAAAAGACCCCAGATTGACAGTGTGTCTGAAACGTGCGCAGCAATTCAAGCAAAACCAGCTCTTAGTTCATTTGAACAGTGTATAACTGTTGTTTAATTAATAGCATGTAAACACAAACGTACAAGATCAGTAAATTTACGTTTCCCTCTTCATACAAAAAAATTAAAATACTTAAATACGATTGATTGGAGGAGCGGCGTGGTGGCGCAGTATCGATGTCGCCTCACAGCAAGAAGGACGCTGATTCGAGTCCCGGCTGGGTTAGTTGCTGTTTCTGTGTGGAGTTTGCATCAGTGTTGGCGTGGGTTTCTGTGGGTGCTCTGGTTTCCCCCACAAGTCCAAATACAAGCTCTATAGGTGAATTGGATTAACTCAATTGTTTGTAGTGTATGTGTATGAATGAGAGTGTATGGGTGTTTCCCAGTATTGGGTTGCAGATGGAAGGACATCCGCTGCGTAAAACGTAAGCTGGATAAGTTGGCGGTTCATTCTGCTGTGGCGACCTCTGATTAATAAAGGGACTGAGCCGAAAAGAAAATGAATGAATGAATGACTGATGGGGCCTCATAACTCATGTATTCAGGTCATTTTACTGCAGGTATCTGTAATGAGGCCGATGGCTCCCTGTCATTGGAAAGGAGCTGGAGAACAATTTTATTTAATAGATAAATATAGAACAAATAGGTGGTAAGCTGGTGGCAGTCCTTCAGGGTGACTACCGCTGAACTCAAAGCATAACAAAACACAAGCTTCAGGCCTGGTTCTCTTTCGTCTACCACTGCTGCCTCTTCTCCTGTTAAGGTCATCTATATGCTTAAAGTTCATCACCTTTCACTTAAACTGTACAACTGCAGGTTAACTATATTTATATACAGTAACCTTAACTGATAGCGTTATTTGTAATTAGTTAATTAGTTTAAGTTATTATTAATTAATAAAGTTATAGTAACATACGACTTCTGATTTTGATTGTAATGCAATAATTAGCACCTTTTGAATTGCTGCTTTGAAACATAAATTATTGTGAAAAGCGCTCTAAAAATAAATAAACTTGAATTGAATAAGGTCAACAACTTCTTCGTGAGACTCGAGACAGGTGGCTCACACAGAGGTCACACAGTAGTTAACACTCATGCCACGGGCCTCGGTTTGCTCTCATGGCTCTGTGCCCTGCCTGTGTCATATCAGCACTGCATCTGACTTTAATGTACTGCTTGGATAAATTAATAATCTTCCTCCTATTCGCTTTTCCTCTTGCATTCTTGTTTCTCTGCCGCTCTGTCGATGTCTGATAAGGTGTAGCTCCTCAAAAAGATGAGACTAATCAAGTAACTGGCTTCCTGGTGTTTGGATCAATGTATGATCAATGTATAATTCAGTTGGAAAAGAAAAATCTGTAAAAAGTATCCACCTTATTATTTTATTGACTTTGATTTCTCCTTCTCCTCCGCAGACTTGTCGAAAAACCGTTTTTGTGAAATTCCCCCAGAAGTTTGTATGTTTGCACCACTGGAGTCATTAAACCTCTACCACAACTGCATAAAGACCATTCCAGAGGCCATTGTCAACCTACAGATGCTCACTTACTTGAACATCAGGTAATGTACACACACACACACACACACACACACACACACACACACACATGCACACACCGTGATGCCTTTGTCTGTTAGTTTAATCAATCAGCTCATTAAATGTAATCCATTTTGAAGACTTTATTGGTATCTGGCTTTTGTGCTATACATTGTTGTTTGTTCGTTATCAGTATTATTAGTACTGTACAATTATTAAGTTTTATTACAAATTAAACATCAGTTAAACGTCAAGCCTGAAATTATTCATACCCCTGGTAAATTCTGACTTAATTCTTTTGTTTAAATGTAAATAAAAGCTGAGAAATATTTTCTTTTTTTTCTTCTTTTTTTTCCCCCCTTTTACATCGTCTTACTATCTTTTGGAAGAAGTCCAAAAGATGTAATTTCAAAATGGTCAAAAGTGTCAGCGACTACTTTTACATGGATATCAGTAATCGAATTATTCGCCTTAATCTAAATAAGACAACAATATGAGGAAGGTGTTGCTTTTTGAATGTTCCTTTCATGATCACATTTTACATGTTATAGCACATAATTCAATAAATGTCATTGCTTCTCCACACTATCCATGTTTACTCTGGAGTTTCATGTAATTTTGGGTGTTTTCATTTTAAATTTTTGACGTAACTGCAGCTCGGCAGTTTCACTTTCATTCAGAAACCTTTCATGCATGTCCCCTGTGATTGAATTGCTGGAAGAGTGTTGTTTCAATGGAATTTGATTCGGCATGCCGTTTGAGGAAAAAAGAAAATCTCTTAATTTTGCGATGGAGGTGTCTGGGGTCTTTTGCTGACTCGGTAGGTGCAGAGAATAGTGTTAAACAGCCGTTTGTGTATAGAATATCCTGTCACAAAATGTATCAAACATCCTACTCGATGGTAATAATGGTAGTACTGAACTTTAATAATGCGTCTAAAATTGGCATACTCCACATGTCTTAATTCCATTTCTGTTTACTTCGATTACGACTTTAGTCGGATTAAGGTAATCAAAAATCGCTGTTTACAAGGTAGACTCTTAATCACTGTATTGCCTAATTGTATTAAAACCTGATTATTGCTGTCCATGTAAACATACGCAATGTAAAAAGTGTCATTTATGTAAAACAGATCTTGCCAATAGGTGTGTATAATGCTTTTGCGTTTTGATAATTGACTTAGACACTTCTTTTTAAAATATTTTAAAAATCCTTTGCTCAAAAGAAAATAACTGTATGAGGTTGAATTGACTTTTGCCTCTTGTTGTTGGTGTTACCTCATTAGCGAAAGCAAAAGATGCTAAATAGTATTTACTTAAGGCTATTGAAGCTAAACCTTGTATTTTGTTGTTTTCAGTCGAAATCAGCTTTCTGTTCTCCCCAAGTTTCTCTTCAATCTTCCTCTGAAAGTGCTGGTGGTCAGCAACAATAAACTCCCTTCTGTTCCTGAGGAGATCGGAAAGGCCAAAGACCTCATGGAACTGGTCAGTATGTAAATAAAGATGTACATGTTATATTAATATGCATCAGTCTGTGATGTTTGTATACATACAGTGCATGCATTGTCTCTGTTTAGGACATCAGCTGTAATGAGATCCAGGTGCTTCCTGCTCAGATGGGGAAACTCCTCGCGTTACGAGAGCTTAACATACGGAGAAACTGTCTACAAGTGTTACCAGATGGTACTGACACATGTCATTGACATGTCACCAGAAGCATGAATCAAATAAAACATACAGTAGCTTTGCTGTATATAAACTTGGGGAATCTAGTTATGCTGCTAGCACTTGGTTAGCAAAGAATTTCTTATATATATATTTTCTTTTTAACACAGAACTGTCCGATCTGCCATTGATCAGGCTGGATTTCTCCTGTAATAAGATCACAGAGATTCCCATTTCTTACCGCAAACTCAAGCAGTTACAGCACATCGCACTCGACAACAACCCCATGCAGTCTCCTCCTGCTCAGGTGAGTCTGTGTTCATCCTTCCAGTGCCGTATGCTTTCTGAAATATAGAAAAGGTAAACACAATTACAGGATCCACTTATGAAAATGGAATTGGCTGATTAATGCAGATTTTGGATGAATATATTAACGTTCTGCAGTGCTGTAAATCTAACCAAATTGAAATCTAAATTAGTAGTGAATATTAATCCACAAAAGCACATGCTATTTTGTTAACTCTATGCATCAATCATGTGTGACAGTTGTGCTGTTTCAGTCTGTTGCCTTACTATGAGACATGAACACATTACTTTATTTCAGATCTGCACTGAGAGCCACTTACAAGCATTTGACTGTTTTTATCATTATGTGCACAGAGGAGCTCAAACCTGTCAAAATAGAGGTTCTGTGTAAAGTGAAGTAATTCTGCATCTGTTTCAAAGTAGATTATACTTCTCTCAGTTCAATAATAATAAAACTATTATTAATAATAAGGAATTTTAAGGAACAATTACACTGTTGTTCAAATGTTTAATTTTAACAGAATTTTTTTCTAATAAATTTAAACATTTTAATAAGGTTTTACTGTAGCTAAACTCTTATAAAATGTTTTAACAGAATTACTTAATTATTTCAATCATTTGGACAACCTTTATGGATTACGTAGTTTAAATTTAACCTATACAATAGATTTTTAAAATAATAAACAAAAAACAGAATCTAGACATGAAAATGGAGAAAAAACATATGGAAAAATAATATGTATTTTATGTAAATCTGCTCTTCTTTTGTGTGAATCTTATTGCTTCATTGTCCACTGACTCTGTTGATCATTTCTTTTGCTTTGGCGCCATCTAGTGTCTGACAATGTGAAATCCACAAAACATATTGATTCTATGATAATCTGGAGTTTTAAAATTGTTATTTATATCTCACCTAGCAACATGAGCCAGGAAAGCCCCTCAACCTGATTATAATTCAAGCAAACAGAAAACAAATGAACAAATAGAAATATGGCAAGTCTAGTAAATTGCAGTGTATACATTTTGTTTGAGAAACAGCATGAGACATCATTGGTACCATCAGGGCCAGATTTATGTGTAGCTACATGCTTACATGCCTTTTATTTCGCTGTCATGCTTAAATTGTAATATACTGTATGTACTTAAGCTCAGTGGTAGGCAAGCTGATTTGTGTCCCGGCTGGGCCAGTTGACATTTCTGTGTGGAGTTCAAAGTCCAAAGTGGCTTTGCGGCTGGAAAGGAATCTGCTGCTTAAAACATATGCCAGAATATTTGACTGTGGCGACCTCTGATAAATAATGGACTAAGCTGAAGGAAATTAACTTATGTACTCAACCCTCTACCGCACGCATTATGATAAATCTATAAAAAAAAACTTGACTGTTTTGGGTCAGTTGGCATTTCTGTGTGAAGTTTGCATGTTCTCCCTGCATTCGCGTGGGTTTCTTCTGGGTGCTCCGGTTTCCCCCACAGTCCAAAGACATGTGGTACAGGTGAATTGGGTAGGCTAAATTGTCCGTAGTGTATGAGTGTGAATGAGTGAGTGTGTGGATGTTTCAGAGATAGGTTGTGGCTGGAAGGGCATCTGCTGCGTAAAAATGTGCTGGATAAGTTTGCGGTTCATTCCGCTGTGGCGACCCTGGATTAATAGGGACTAAGCTGAAAGGATAATGAATGAATGAAGGAATAATTGGTATTATAAGCTTTAACACAAAAATAAATGACACTTTATTTATACTTTCTAACAACTGATATTCCAACAGCTTTCATTCATTCCCTTCTTTTTTGCTGAATATTTTTAAAAACAAACCAAATATTGTATTATCATGTATACAACATACAGTAAATATAAATATTTTCTCCAGTAAATATTATAACAAATAAATAACAAGTCTAGTATATCTAGATACATCAGAATAATGTAGCTACTAGCTAACAATATTTATATATTATAAGTATATATACTATACTACACCTGTCTTATCTGCCTCTGAGCTAACTTACCTGAACTGTCTCTATCAAATGTCCCGTCTGCATAATTCTCATGGTCACTAAAACCCATCTCATCTTCACTTACATCTGCAGGAAGAGCCAGTTCTGTCTTTTTCTTCTTTTACTTACCATAGAACATGCTGTTGTGATCGCTAATACACTGTTCCCTGTATTCATATCAATTCAAAAGTAGTATTGCCATTAAAACTAGATTTTATCCATATGCAAATGCCATTAACATATGACTAATCAACATTATACTACTAGCATTCATGATGTTATTGTTATATTGTTACAACTTCAGTTCACAGCTGACCTTGCTAGCTAGCTAACCCATTGCAATATTGTATGTTTCACTGTTGCACAGTGTTGCCATTTGGCAACACATACATTTGATCCATTTACAAAAAACTAATTTGATAAAAAAAAAAAAGTTTATGTAAGTTTATGTATATGTAATCAGAACTCACTGATCCTTTGTTTTTATTGACGTTTACATATGCATTCAGCGACTACTCACTATAAACGCCAGAAATCGCACTACAGAAAAATACTGCACGTCATGTGACCTAACCAAAGCACATCATTGGCTAAACTAAGGTCTCTCTTTCAAAAAAAATAAAAAATAATAATGTTGGCCTTGCCATATGGTTACACAGTGCAGTAGAGGGTTAAGGTTAAAATCTATTTTGCTTGTGTCACAAATAAAGCTTAATTCAATATGCTTTCAAAAATAAATTGTTTAAGTATGACTGCACAATATATTGATCTAAATTCAGTATTGCACAAGTTTGTTGTGGTGATCGAAAATCACAAAGGCTGAGTTTAATTACAGTGCATCCAGTTCCTTGGTTTTAAGCACTTGAATGCATTTACATTGAATTTTTTTCTGCATGCACAATAAATGCATGAAAAGTAATGGGTAATGTACATCCAGCCAGTAATTCTTGCAGGATAAAACCTGACAGGCTTATTAGATAGCGCTTACATACGACTAAAGGGATTTATTTTGCAAAAACAACCATCTAGATCAGAGATGCCCAAAGCAGGTCCTGTGGGCTAAAGTTGGCCTTTTGTAACCTCTGATTTGGCCTATCATCCCATCATGGAAGAGGGTAAAAATTATGAAGAGAGTTGGTGTGATTTACTGCTGAGCTACAAAAAAGCTAATTAAAATGAAATGTTTTGATTAAATGTTGTAAATGAATCCGATTTTTTAAAAATGTAAATACAGTTACTTGACGGATAGAGGACTATGCAGAAGACATCATCGAGCAAATCAAGGCAGAAACTACTGTAACTCAAATCTGTTATAAATGAGATGTAGTAACTTCATTATAAAATGTAAAAAAACAACAACAACATTATACTGTATTAGTTAATATAAAGCAATGTTTTGTAGTTATATTCAAATTTTATTAAATAAATTTGGAAATTACCTAGTTCGATTATATTTACATCTGGCCCACTAGCCTTAATCAAGTTTGGTTTTGGTCTTTCATAGAGAAAAGTTTGGGCACACCTGATCTAGATGGACATTATCCTGCTTATTACACCACTAATTGCCTCAAAATTAAACTGTTAGAAACAAAACATTAATCTGAGCTGTAACAGCATTTAAGTAGCTTTTTAACTAAATGTTAAGCTTCTTACCTGAACCGCTGCAGTCTACACTAACAAATATATTTTTTATTACCCACTTGCAAAATAGTGTCAACCAGTAAAAACAGCAGTGTGACAAATAAGCAATATTTACTTCCTTACAAACACTCATTGTGCAATTCTGAGTGTTTTGCACACAGGTAAGTGGGCTGGACTAACCATCTGTAGGATATTCATCTTTGTAATTGCACACTATAGACTTTCTTTTAAACTTGTTTTACAAAGATTCAATAAGGTGACATAAATGTGTATTTATTATTGGAGTACACTGAAGTCACGGTTTGGTACGCATCTCGGTTTAGGGTTTTAGGCAAGGGCTGTGAGCCTCTCCTTATAGTACAAGGTTATAATGACAATAGTTTTTTTAGGGGGCAACATACAGTATAGATAACAGAGATCAGGTGCTTTTTTAAAAACCTTTCTTGAGTGCTCCTACATTGTTGCAATGCTGTGGACTTTTTTTGCCTAAATTCTGTGACTTGCACATCTGGACTGACTGTATTCATCGTCAGAGTTTCCAGTGTTCAAATTGATGTTTATTTATGTAGCACCGAGTTCTTGCGAGACAGGACATTTTGCTCCTCTGTTTTACACATATAGGCCTGTCACAATAATCAGTATACTGACTTCTCGCACAACACATGGACATTACCTCAATCATTTTTGGTGATATTTCCCAGACATTAAAAAATAATTCTAGCAACATTTTAGCTGATTGCACAACCTCTCTGTCTCTATTGGAGGTGTCAGTGTCAGTATAATTAAAAACACTATAGTATTTACTATAAATGACTATAGTATATTTTCATGTGGGTGTCTGTCAATTGACAATAGATAGGTAGCAGATTTCTCAGCCTCTGTTAATTTTTACCTTGTACTTTTTTGTTAACAGTTATTATTATTTGCGTCTGCTAAATGACATAATGTAAATGTCATTTAGTTATTTAATTATTATTTTTATTATTATTATTTATTTAGGACATGCATTTTCACATTCTAATTATTTAATTATTAAAATGACTATAAATAAATTAAATACTCTTAAGAATAAAATATTATGTGTTCTTTGGAAGACTGTACTTGCATTGTGATAAATATGTTGAGTTTGCACGTTCTCCCCATGTTCGCGTGGGTTTCCTCCGGTTTTCCCCAAAGACATGCGGTATAAGTGAACTGAAGAAAACAAAACTGGCTGTAGTCTGTGTGTAAATGAGAGAGTCAACTTCAGTATTTAAATTTACTAAACTTAAAACATGTTCATTACATTTAAATTATAAAGTCCTATCAACATCATTCTTCATTACAACTTTTCTGTTTAAGTTAATTGACTTTAGACTAGGCTGTCACAGTGGCACAGTGGGTAGCAAGATTGTCTCACAGCAAGAAGGTCGCTGGTTCGAGCCTTGGCTGGGTTAGGTGACGTTTCTGTGCGGAGTTCTGGTTACCCCCACAGTTCAAAGACATGCGCTATAGGTGAATTGGTTAAGCTAAAATTGTCTGTATTGTATGTGTGTGAATGAGTGTGTATGGGTGTTTCCCAGTGATGGGTCGCAGCTGAAAGTGCATCTGCTGCATAAACCATATGCTGGGTAAATTGGCGCTTCTTTTCGCTGTGGCGCCCTCAGATTAATAAAGAATCTAAGCTGCAAAGCAAATGAATGAATGAATGACTTTTAGACTACGTCCATTACACTTGTATTGTCAAGTCTTGTCAACTTTAACCTGAGTTCAGACAACTTCGCTATTTAAGTGATATTTAAGTGATAATTTTAAACTTAAAATTTTAAGGCAGCACAAACACTTTTCAAACAAACAAACAAACAAACAAACAAACAAGTAATTTTCAGTTTAGCATCTATTCGGCAGTATTACTTGTGGACTTTGGCATGCACAATATCATGTAGTCATGTTTATTTCCCTTCACGTCTTTCTGTAGAAAAGCAGTTACCAAACTACATTGTCATGGTGGAATACAGTAAATTTAGTTGACCATTTGATATTCCTGAAAGGAGCCTGTGAACATTACACTGTGACCCTTGAGTTCCCCAGAAAGCATTTTTATTTTGGCTCAGTCACATGTTACTATACCTGACTGTGGGCTCAAATGAATTTTTTTTTTGTTGGCACCTACTGTAGTGATGTAGTTCTAGTTATCAACCCATCATATTCTGAATGTTCAGATTTAATCTCACTGTCCTTCACATTTGAGAAGACAGTAGTTTAGATGCTAAATGTTCTTCCTTTTCCTTGTTTCTCAGAAAAATGTTCTGAGGTAAACAATTGCATAAATAAGTTTTTTTGAGCTAAAGTCCAATCAAAAGGTTTTGTTTGTCTTCCAGCAACAAGACGTTTCAGAGAACATCCAGTCCCTTGACTGAGATTAACCTTATTTCAGATTTTGGAATGTCCCTCAGTCTATGTATAGTCTTTCCTTGGAAATGCAGATTGGCAATTTGCCCTAAGAGAAAGTCAAGTGACTTTGTTGATTTTGTCGTTTTATTACTGTACTTATTTTAAAAATACAAGCTGAACAGGTTTCTGAGAAATAAATCCACTTTTACTAAAGTTGTTGCATTGTACTGAATCTGAACAGTGATTTAAGAACGGTTTCTGGTTCAAATGTTTGGAGTTTTGGAGTTTAAATGTTATGTTAAAATGTTATGTTCACTAAACAAAAATATAATTATTTAATATATTTAGTTAAATGTAAATTTTTTTTAAATATGTTTAATCTAAGGCATGCCTGTGACGGAAAAGCAGAATTTTTAGCATCATTTGCACCAGTCTTCAGCGTCACATGATCCTTCAGAAATTATTGTAATATGCAGATTAGGTTCCTAAAAATATTATTTACCATTGTTGGAAATTTTTTTTATAATATTTTTGTAAAAATGCATACAGCTAAGGGGAAAAAGACTACTTGAAAAAGTTTTGTTTCTGTAGGTTTATTGGATTTATTAATATATTTATTAACAGCTATGCTGCTATCCGGCAGCTAGCTCTCTCCAACTCTCACATGGTTGCCCACTGAAGCTAAGCAGGGCTGCGCCCGGTCAGTACCTGGATGGGAGACCACATTGGAAAGCTAGGTTGCTGCTGGAAGTGGTGTTAGTGAGACCAGCAGGGTTTGTGTGGGTCCTAATGCCCCTGTACAGTGAGCGCCGTCTTTCGGACGAGACGTTAAACTGAGGTCCTGACTATCTGTGCTTGCTAAAAATTGTTCTCCATAAAAGAATAAAGTCAAATTTGTCCACTGGCGTCCTAACCATCCCCATATCTTAATTGTATTTTAGCTTTATCACTGTGTCTCCTTTCCACCAATCAGCTGGCGTGTGGTGAGCAGTCTAGCGCAATATGGCTGCTAGGTGGATGATGCACACTGGTGGTGGATGAGGAGATTCCCCCAATGTATAAAGAACTTTGAGTGTCCAGAAAAGCAGTATATAAATGTAAAGAATTATTATTATTATATTTAATAATACTCTATAAATGTCTGAGTACATTTCTTTCAGATTTCAAATAAAAAGGTTGTTATTTGTGTGTTTTCTTTATTACAGAAATGCTCTGTTTTAAAAACTATTTTTTGAGGTGCAGCTGATCACAGAGAGTTGGAACAGATCTTCTAATCCCAGTTTCTTTGCAAATCCTGTTCTGTGGACATGTATTTACACGTTATTATGGAGACATGTTAATGTGTTCCCGTAAATCAATTCGGTGGGCGTGAAAAACTGCACTCCTATGTCATGTGGTGGGCCTCAAAATCGTTTGGATTTGGATCCTATTTTAATGTCAGGAAATTTTAAATAAGACACTTGCTGCATTTATATCATTCCAATATGAATGTGGACGCACTATACCTACACACAGTTCTGTCCAAACAGCTTACAAAAATTAATTTTGCATCATAGGTGCACTTTAATTTTTTTAATTACATTTATTTAGAATAACATATTTAAATTTTTGTTTGTGTGAAAATCAGGGTTATCCCTTAAAACACTGTCATTGTCATGTACATTTAAATATAAATATGTCTTAAAATATGATGTTTGTTTAGTTATTTTATGCAAATATATTGCTTCCAATGACAGTATGTTTAATTTTACACATGGTAAGAAATAGGGCTGCACAATATATTGTTTCAGCATTGATATCGCAATGTGTGTGTCCATAACAGTCACATCGCAGGATATGCAATGATGAGTTGGGACTTGGGAATATAATTGATCAGCAACAACAGCTGAGAATACATTAGATTCATTCACTATCACAGTCAATTGCTAAGTATAACCCTAACAGAGTGACACTTTACCATTTACATGTGTTTTAAAGGCATTTTAAGAGAGCTCTCATATGTTCATGATTCATACCCTTATAAAATCAGCCTCAAACGATCCTAATTAATGATTTCTTTCCAAATAGAGCTATACCACAATATATATTGCACAAAATGAAAATATCTCAATGTCAGATTTTTCCAATGTGTTGCAGCCCTAGTAAGAAACATCAGTAGTTTACAGAATGAAATAAAAAAATTGCATTTTGCTCAAACACACAACCATAGATTGCAAATGCAGAGAAAGTGAAAATTTCAAGTGGTCTCTTAAATCGTTCCACTCCTGTATTTCTTTGACATGTCTTTGATGCATAGAATTCAGTAAAAAAAAAAAAAGACAGCGGTTTTGTGGCATCTCATCTTTTGTCAGTTTGTTAATTAATCTTTTTTGCTTTCAGATCTGCCTGAAGGGAAAGATCCACATCTTCAAGTATCTGAACCTGCAGGCATGTCGTCTGGATAAAAAGCCTGACACACTTGACCTGCCTTCTCTGGGAAAACGCTGTTTACCTCAGCAGCTGACTGACAGGTCCGTACAGCCTTTTGCCATCTATTTATTGCGATTTCATCTACCAACAACACCAATTTATAGCCCCAATGAATCATGTCATAAACACGTATTTCACAGAAATTCACAGAAACACTTTTTTAATCTTCCATTTTTTAATGTCACTGAAACCTTATCTACTTTTATCTATAATTCGTTGTTTCTGTTTATAGCTACATCATATTTTACATCATATATATGTTTGATTGGGAGCAATGTATAGCAGATGCTGACACGAGCCGGGTTACCATCCTCATTTGAAGCAAATCTTTTTATAGTTCGCCAAAAAAGAAAAAATCTCAAATTTGAATGAGGTGTTTTTTTTTCCCCCCAACGAGTTACTAGAGCAGCTGACTGTAGTATTAGTAATCCAACAGTAAACAAGGCAAGCATAAAGCAGACAGGACTGCAGTTAGAAATGGTTGGGCAAGTTATAATTGTAAAGTATATATTCAAAAAGGCAGCAACACCAAAGCTCCATAAATGCAAATTTATGCATTTTCAAGCACACCTTCCTCAGACAGTGTTCATCACAGTAAGGTGCTTCTTTTCTGGATCACATGATCTCCTAGTATCTCACAACAACAACAAAAAAAATACACATTTATAAATTGTACAACTTAGGTATATTCAAAACAAACAAACCATAATGTTACATCACAAATTAAAGAAAACAGAATATAACAAGGAATTATAACAAAAATTATACAATACAAAAGGATAGCTTAGTTAAAAAACAACAAAAAAGCATGATCGTCATATTAATTTTTATATGAAATATTCGCCGGTGACTAAAGACATTAATAAAGTGCTATTAAAACACTGGCATATTATTTCAAGTGATCCTACCCTCAAAGAATGTTTTGAAAAATTCACCTTGTTTAGTACACAAAAGAACATCTAACATCCGGAATATGTTGGTTGTAGCTGATCTAGAACATTTATTAAATGCCATGCCACATGGTAATTTTAAATGTAGGAATTGTTTACAATGCAACTTCAGTTACAAAACGTTAACTTTTACACATCCCCATACAGCAAAAAAAAGGAAAAAAAGCGAGGCACTATTTTGTGCAAGACCGCAAGAGAATCTAGATGTTGCAGTGCCCATGTGGTTTATGTTCCCTTGGTAAGACGAGTAGGCCTTTAAAAATTCGCATCTTATTAAATTGCTGTTACAACCTGAAGCCTTTTGCATTTTCATTCTAGATACATTGTCACCAAGAGGTTTAAATGAGGGGTTTGACATTCGTCCTTTATAATAATTCTTTAATGTTTAATTAGGTGTTTGGGTACAGGTTTTTGGCTATATTTTGTTGTATGTTTTTTGTTTTATTTCCTTGTTATATTCTCTTTTCTTTAATTTGTGATTATTGTTTGTTTCTGTATTTTAATTTTGAATACCTAAGTTGTCATTTTTTCTTGTTTTGAGATAATGGGAGATCATGTGATCCGGAAGTGTATAAAAAGGAGCACCTTACTGTGATGAACACTGTCTGATGAAGAGCCGTGTGCTCAAAACATTAGACGCTTTGTGTCAGCTGTTTTTAATTGAATACATTTGCATTTTTGGAGCTCTGGTGTTGCTGCCTTTTTGGATTTATAACTTGCACTTTTTGCGTTTTTGACTGAGCACCCAATTCAAAGTGATGTGTGTGCTTTTGTACATTTTTGAAAATGATAATTGTAACAGCAAAGGCAGTATGATGACATCAAGCCACAAACATATGGGCACAATAACATCTGTGGGATGTTTAGAAGGTCATAGTGACAAGACATTTTAATAACTTTAACTTTAATAACTGTTGTAACAATTCATATCCTAATTTTTTGTATATTTCATCCTGACAATATTTAATCAAGGCAGCATGGTGGCTCAGGGGTTAACACTGTTACCTCACAGCAAGAAGGTCACTGGTTCAAGTCCCGGCTGGGTCAATTGGCATTTCTGTGTGGAGTTTGCATGTTCTCCTTGTTCGCGTGGTTTTCTCCGGCTGCTCTGGTTTATGCATGTGCTATAAGTGAATTGAATAAACTAAATTGGCCATAGTGTATGGGTGTTTCCCAGTACTGGGTTGCAGCTGGAAGGGCATCTGCTGTGTAAAACATATGCTGGATAAGTTGGCGGTTCATTCCACTGTGCCGACCCCTGATAAAAAGGGACTAAGCCGAAGGAAAAATTAATGAATGAATTGATATTTGATTATTTATTTATTTCTTATTTTATTCCAGCTATCAGTTTCTTTAAAGGAAACTATGATGTTGTGTTATTGGTCATCTTGCTTAACTGCGTATGTGTTTGCTTGTTTGTTTGTGTAGTATGGAAGATTTCTATCCTAGTAAAAACCACGGCCCTGACTCAGGTATTGGCAGTGACAATGGTGACAAAAGACTGTCGACTACAGAGGTAAACACACACAAAGTACCACGTTATTTTTTTTATATCTCAGAATGTGCCTGGCCATTTGTAAATCTTTTGTGATTGTGAATATTTGTTAAATGTAACCTACTTCCAATTAGCTTTATGAATTAAAGGTGCTACTGTATATAAATTCACCTGCCTCATCTTGAAAGCGAACAAGGTTTCTTGTGTGATTCAATTTTATTGTTTTAGCTGCTTTATATTATGAGTCAAAGATGAAACCAGATTTTCATGCATCAAATCAATGAAAGTAATGACAAAGTGTTATTTTTGTGCAGTATTTATTCATTTGTCAAAAACAATGATTGATCATGATTTACAATAGACAACTTTCTGAAATTGTAACAATATTTTAATAACAAGTCTTCTCAAGATTTATAGCTCATAAAATTTAGAAATTACCATTATTAGCACTATGAAACATTGATTTTTATATCTGACTTTTATTTTGATATATTTTTTAAATAATGTATTTCTTTGTTAGGAAGCTAAATTTTAAAAGAAACATAATACAGGTGCTGGTATACTTAATCAAATTAAAAAAAACATTTATTTTATATTTGAAAGTGAGGGGTTAAGAAATAATTTACTTGTAAGTTCAATAAAATAAACAGAATGTAATACATGTATAAAATGCCAGAACCCAAACAAAAACAACTAGGATCCTATAAGTGCCTTCTTTAATGTGCAACCTCCAGTTTTGCAAGATCATCATGTTTGACACAGTGGATAGAGCTTTAGTAATTAATGTAAATTTGGTAAAATCAGGGATCTTCTCTTTTGTTGCAAATAAAAATAATTGCACAATATATGGTTTTATATATAACAACCTCGGAATTTGCCTCAATCATGTCTACTCTGCAAGTTCAAATAATTGAACTCAAATTTTACTAAAAAGATGCGATGCAACAAGATTCTAACAGCAAGTAATTTATCTGTCGACACATCAAAACACTTAAATACCAGTCATTCATTTAAATATCAGCCACTGCACTGTAGGGAACACAATGGTAAGGGTTATAATCTAATGAATACATATAAAAACAATTTAACTTTATTAAACAGACTGTTGTACTAGCAGTACTGATGTTGACATTGAGTCACTGATTTTCATTTTCAAATCTGAGGTACACTATCTGCTGCTGCTATCAGTAGTATGGCAATAAATGTAATGGACAATTGTGATCAAACTCACATTGATAGCTTTTAACACTGAATATAGCACATACAGTAATCAGTACCTGAGGTGATCATTGTCTTTGTAGTTTATGCTGTTTTGCTGCGACATTGCGGAAAAAGAAACTTTGAAAATTTGCACGTCGCAATTAGTTTCAACATGAAAAGATAACATTTATTGTGGCATGTGTGTAGATAGAACACAGTGTACTGACTTTTCTTTCTTTCCACTCAACCTCTTAAAAACCTGCATATTAATAGCATCTCCTTGATGACAGAATATTTTATATACAAAGTGAGAGGGGACTGAATTGGGAATAAGTTAAGTTCTTTGCATTTCTATCCAAATCAAACAATTCATCACCACCACCAGGGGTGACACCTTGCAACACTGCATGGAAGAAGGTATACTGTACCTTAAGTAAACTTTTTAGGGTATAGTTCGGTAAACACACATAGAAATGGTATTCCTTTAGTTAACATGTACATGTACAGTCTTCGTAGCCTACTAAGTGACAATGTTATAGTGAAACACAGCCCAGAACATCAGACAATTTGGGAGCAGACATCATGGTTTTATTCATACAATCGGATAATGCCTATGTAATGCAGAAAAAAAATCTGATTCCTTTGTATGTCAGAAAAAAAATGTAAAAAGGGTATTTTTTTGCGAATAGAATTGCTAAAAAGACGTTTACCATTAAAGGATTGAATGTAATGGTCAATCTGTGATGATTAGCCTACTATTATGCTTGAAACTAAATGTAAAAAATAAAACACTATTCACAATATCACTATGTAGTTTTTTCTTACATTATTTAATCCTATACACACACACACACACACACACACACATATATATATATATATATATATATATATATATATATATATATATTATTTTTTTTTTTACATAAAGTAGACTAAATTTAGTAGCTAGATTATTTTAGAAAAGCAGTTCATACTTATGTACAGAGTGCTGCTGGTATGTTGTTGGTTGAGATGTTGATAATAGCCAATGGCATCTGTTTTTGCTGCTGCATCAGTAAAAACAGCAGAAACTGTGACATTACATCAGTCTGTAACACACAAAAGTCATTCAAAAACTGCCATGCCATATTATGAACATGACTGCAAAGCACTAAATAAATTGAGAGTTTTTTTAGCCATTTAGTGGGATACTTAACCTGTACATCTTACACAAAGTTTTTGACAACTCAATACAAACTGTCACTCTTTTTTCACAAGGAAGTCTTCGCTCACAGAACAAAACAGGCATTCATCAAACTAAAACCTAGTGTGACTAATGAAATGAAAGTCTTGCACATTCACAGAAAAGATCTAATTTCCGCATTGCAAAATAAGGTGGATAGTAAAAAGAAGATCTGTAAATACAAAGAATACTGTTTTTCACTTGATGAAAAAAGATACCACACGTTAGCACAAAAGCTCTTGAATAGTTGAGCTGGAAACACCAGTTGAGCATGACGAAAGATAATCTAGTAGGATGATCGAAGAATTTTGTTGTGGGAGTAAAACAACTGTCAATAATGTAAATAGTTTTCCAGCAGGTGTGTCTTACAAAACAGACAAAAAAAAATCTTGTGTTTTCTCTTTCTCCTGTTCCGCAGCCATCTGATGATGACACCATGAGTCTCCACTCTCAAGTGTCAGAAACGGCGCGGGCTGACGCACACATTCTGCTCACAAAGCTTGACTCAAACAAAGGTGTGTTTTCAGCATTAGTATTATTAACCATAAATAATTTTTCATAAAAGATGTTTTGTTGTGTTGTGTACCATAGTAATAACTTCATAATAGAAACTATACATTGAAACTAGACAAACAGATCTGTGTCAAACAGATACATGTGTCATACCTATGTCAGTGTACAGATTTATGTCCTGATATGACACAAAAACACATACACACACACACACACACACACACACACACACACACACACACACACACACACACACACACACACACATATATGCACACAGTTAGGTCTATAAATATTTGGACATCAACACAATCGCAACATTTTTAGCTCTATACAACAGCACAATGGATTTGAAATGAAGCAAACATTAAGTGCTTTAACTGCAGACTGTCAACTTTACTTTGAGTATCCAAATCAGGTGAACGGTGTATAAATTGCAACAGTTATATGTGCATATGTGTCTCTCACTTGTTAAGGGTCCAAAAGTAATTGGACAATTGGCTTCTAAACTGTTCCATGGTCAGGTGTGTGTTATTCCCTCATTATCCCGATTACAATGAGCAGATAAAAGGCCCAGAGTTTCAAGTGTGCTATTTGCATTTGGAATCTGTTACTGTCAACCCTTAAGATGAGATCCAATCAGTCAAGAAAGCCATCATAAAGCAAAAAATAAAATAAAAAATAAAATAAGAGAGATAGCAAAAACATCAGGCATGGCCAAAACAACTGTTTGGAACATTCTTAAAAAGAAAGAAAGAATGCACCAGTGAGCTCAGCAACATCAAAAGACCCGGAGTTACCATTAAAACAATTGTGGTGAACGACTGAAGAATTCTTTCCCGGGGAAAACACCTTTCACAACAGTTGGCTAGATCAAGAACACTCTCTAGGAGGTACTGTAGGTGTGTGTGTGTGTCAGACTCAACAATCAAGAAAAGACTTTAGCAGAGTGAATAGAGAGGGTTCACCACAAGATGTAAACCAATGGTGAGCTTCAAAAACAGGAAGGCCAGATTAGAGTTCTAAAAAAGCCTCCACCGTGCTGAAACAACATCCTATGATGAGATCAAGATCAACATTTACCAGAGTGATGGAAAGAGAAAAGTATGGAGATGGAAAGGAACTGCTCATGATCCTAAGTAGTGAAGCATGGTGGTAGTAGTGACATGGCGTGGCCATGTATGGCTGTCAATGGAACTGGTTCTGTTGTATTTATCGATGACGTGACTGCTGACAAAAGCAGGATGAATTCTGTTTCAGGCAATATTTTCTGCTCATATTAAGCCAAATGCTTCAGAATTCATTGGACGGTGTTTCACAGTGCAGATGAAGAAATAACCCAAAGCATATTACAAAAGCAACCAAAGAGTTTTTGTAGGGAAAGAAGTGCAATGTTATGCAAGGCAGAGTCAATCACCTGAGCTTTAAACATGCATTTCACTTGCTGAAGACAAAAAAAAGAGAAGGGAAAATGTCCAAGAACAAGCAGGAACTGAAGACAGTTGCTGTAGAGGTCTGGCAGAGCACCATCAGGAATGAAACCCAGCATCTGGTGATGTCTATGTTTTCCAGACTTCTGGCTGAAATTGACTGCAAAGGGTTTGCAACCAAGTACTAAAAAGTGAAGATCTGATTGACGATTGTTATTCTGTCCAATTACCTTTGGACCCTTAATAAGTGTGAGCCATATATGCAAATTGTAATTCCTACAGCGTTCACCTGATTTGGAGTAAATACTCTCAAATTAAAGCTCTAAGTCTGCAGTTAAATCACATCTTGTTTATTTAATTTCAAATTCATTGTGTTGGTGTATAGAGCTAAACTTGTTAGAACTGTGTCAATGTCCGAATATTAATGGACATTACTGTAGATATTTACAATTAACATTTTTTTATTCAGACAGATGTATTTTTACTTTTTAGCTTACTTTTGCCTCACTTAAAGCTAACCTTTAAAAAATAAACAATATAACTGCACTGTTTCTTTAACCTTTATGCAGCATTACAGGTTATGGGCTACACACTTTTCTGACAATTTATTTGATACACCTTGTTAGTAATGGGTTGGAGCCTATTTTGTTTTCAGAACCGCCTTACTCCTCTGTTGCAAGATTCAACAATGTCCTCAGTGATATGACACATACTGACATAACAGCATTACGCAGATGTATGTGGGATTTGATGACTGCACGTCAGTGATGCGTACCGTTTCACCACAAGCTAAAGATTGAGATCTGGTGATAGTGGAGGAAATTTAGGGATAGTGAACTTTTTGAGAAACTTGTTTAAGATGATTTGAGCTTCGTGACATTGCATGTTATCCTGCTGATTAGCTGGTAGCTATCACATCACAGCCATAGGCGCAGCTTGTCATTTGAGCTAGGGGCAGCCAGAGGAACCAGTTTAAGCTATTTAATTAAAAAAACAACAACTCTTGGATTCTTAAACCATTTATTTATTCAATTTCTTTTCGGCTTATTTAACATATTTCGGCATATGTTTTACCCAGCGGAAGACCTTCCAACACTGGGAAACACCAATACACTCTTGCATTCACACACATGTACTACAGCCAACTTAGCTTATTCAATCCACCTATAGCGCATGTCTTTGGACTGTGGGGGAAACCAGAGCACCCAGGAAACACATGCAAACATGGGGAGAACATGCAAACTCCACACAGAAATGCCAACTGACCCAGCCAGGGCTCGATACAGCGACCAATACACTTACCTGGATATTTAAAACAAGCTTGAATGACTGATTTAGTTTGATCAGGTGTGTTTACTTAGGGGTTAAAGCTAAACCGTGCAGAGCTGTGGCCCTCAAGGAACTGGGTTTGACATTTGTAGTTTAAATGATGCATAACTGGGGCCCAAATATAACAAAAAAATCCCCCACATCAGCAACCTGAACCATTTGAATGTCATTTGGATGAGACGTCTTTCGGATGAGTTGTTAAAACTCTGGTCATGAATAATTTCATGGCTGTAACTCTGGTGTCCTACATTCTCAGAAATAAAGGTACAAAATCTGTTACTGGAGCAGTGCCTTTTCAAAAGGTACATTTTTGATCATAATAGGTCCTTAAAGGTATTATACTATCCATTTATAATACAGTGATCAGCATATATAAGTACACCCCTCACTAATGTATCTTTTAAATTCATATTTTTAATAGGAAGCCATACAATATTTTAGTTATGCATATATGTTATATTAGTCAGTATTGAAGCCAAACCTGGAGCTTATCTAACAAAATAACTTATGATAGCGGTCCAAAAACTAGTACACCCAAATTTATATGTTATAGAAAAATTTAAAATATAAATAAAAAAAAGAGGATAAATCAAGAGAAGCAAAAAATGGAAATATTTAGTTGAGATTTTGTAGGTTGTAATTTTTTTTTTTTTGCAATATTTTGTTTGAATTTAATTGTTTTATCTTTCCATTTCTAAATGTGTTTGGTGACAAAAATATTATTTCAATAAATATATCTGTTTAATAAATCTGTTTTGTTTAAATGCACCAAAATACATTGCCTAAAATCACTGAGACATTGATAAAAAAATATTTATTTTCAAAATAGGGTGTACTCAATAATGCTGAACATTGTTCCTGTTAATACATATTAATACCTAAAAAGTACATATTAATATCTATTTATTAATAACTGCTTTTTTCCTAGCCAAAATAAAACAAATAAGACTTTCTCCAGAAGAAAAAATTATTATCAGACATACTGTGAAAATTTCATTGCTCTGTTAAAAATCATTTGGGAAATATTTAAAAAAGAAAATCAAAATCAAAAGGGGGCTAATAATTCTGACTTCAACTGTATATTTTTGATAACTAGCAGAGTGTCAGGTTTATGTAATTCACCACTTTGCAGATACTTGATTGTTGAAGCCACCACAACTTCCTGGCATTAAATAGCATTATAATAGCCAGTAATTGTTAGTTGTCAAGTGAAAAGTTCAAAGACATCAGCAAATTATGCAAAACCGCAAAAGCAATCTTTGGTTTTCTTTTTTTTTTTTTTTTTTTGATGTGACGTTTTTTTCGGTGAGTTTTATTTTACCTATGATTGACGCTGCAACTGATAATTACAGTTATAACATTTACTGACATGCTAATCCTATACAAAGTCTACACTCCCAGCAATCTCACAAAATGCATAACAAAGCCATTTTCTCTTCTCAAGAAGTGTAGCATCTTACATAGCCGGTGTGTCTAGTAGGCAAATAAAATATCATTTTACAAGAATAAAACCGCCTTGTCTCAATAAGATCTCATTGTGTGCAGATCAGGACCCGTATGACTTTATTGACCCCAATCCAGATGAAGAGGGCACTTTGTCTGAGGGCGATCTACAGCACAATGCACCTTATGTGTCATGTATAAAGGTATGTATAAACACATAGACCCTTATCTACATCCTATCTTTACTGTTTTTTTGTCATGCGAAGCAATCCCCCACCTGAATCCATAGTTACTAAAACACAAAACCAGCCTGTAAAAGATCTTCCCATCTCTCCTTCACAGGAGCTGGAGCGGGTCCTGAAAACACACCAAAGCAAAGACAAAGAGAACTGGAAAGAGGAGTCAGGGTAAGTCCATGATGTGAGATATTATGCAGGAATTTCCCACAATTTGCACAAATACTTCATCCCACCACCTTTAGATTACTTCTATTATCATCAATGACCTTGGTTATACATACTACAAGTTAAAAACGAGTGTTTACTTACTCTTTCTTTAAAAGTACAGTTTTAAAAGGACAATGAATTGCCATCTTCAATACTGAATCTTAAAGGTAACTCGTTATGGTCATTTTTACAAGATGTGAAGTTCCTATGTCCCTAGAGTGTGTATGTAAAGTTTCGGCTCAAAATAATTTTTATAAATCTTTGAAACTGCCCCTTTGAGGCTTTGTTCTAAATTGTGTTGTTTTTCTGACTATCACTTCAAATTTTAATGAGATTGTCCTCTCAGCCCTCTCTTCAGAAGGGGATGGAGCTATAAACGCCTATGTGTCAACATAGTGGCAGATTCAAAACTCTAATGGTGGACAGTTGCTTTTCACTCAGGGCTGTTTACGCTAATGAGGGTAATGATTGCTAATGATTGTCACTAATGGGTGAGACTTTCCCTTTCTGATGACATGTACAAAGGGAGAATGTCAAACAGCGTGTTTTTACAGAATGTTTTTATGAAGTATAATAATTAATATAGAATCAATTAATTGTTAGCATTAGAGGCTGGCTATACTGTAATTACACACTGTTCCCCCACAACTGTGTATATGCACCTTATAAAAGTGATTTTTCCATAATAGGTTCCCATATAAAAACCAGTTTATCTGCATTGTGAAGGGCTAGAAAAGCGTTTAAATTAGAGAAATTAGAGAAAGTGATGTCAATAATATAAGTATACAGTATATTATTCAACATAAGCTTATTCTGAAAACGTAGCCCTATATACGTTTCTGGAGATTGAGAATTATGTAGCCAGAAGTATGTATGGCTGCATTTTGTCTTTAAAATGAATGCTATAGGGAGGTATGACTGCGTTGCTTTTGGCACTTTACCAGCTGACCGCGTACCCGCGTATGTATGGACAGCTTTCCCGCTGTTACCAGTTTATCCTGTTAGCTCGCCATGTATGTTGGCGGTCTTGAGAAGCAGACAGGAGTTGACCACAACAATGGGGTTCGAGTGTGGTGAAGAACGGTTCCAGAAAGCATGTAAAACAAGCCAAAAAATAAAATAAACAAGTAAATAACAGGGTGAGCATGTGATAAAATCTAAACGTGTGGGGAAAAGCCCTTGTCTGTTTTTTTTTTTTTGCATTGCTTTTGAAAATTGTTGGTTGGGCTCAGGGAAGTGGCTGGGTGGGACAATCAATGCAATTGGTTGGGTTTAGGGAAGGAGGAGGGTGGGTTAGTCGATCGGTCAGTCAGTCAGTCAGTCATTCAGTCAGTTAAACACTTTGTTGACAGCGGCCTCTGATGGGTTTACGTTAGAACAGCAGGGGTTAGGAGCAGACTCGCACTCACGAGTCTCAAAAAAGCGTTTACGGTCAATGTCTGGTGGGTTTACGCGAGAATAGGAGGTGTGAATGGCACTCATGAGAGAAATTTGAGATCTCCAAAAAATCATACACATCAGTTGATTCACAAAAAATAAAAACTGTAAAAAAGCATAGCTCCTGGGACGTATTTTGCACTCTCCAGAAATGTATATTGAGGTACTTTTTAAGAATGAGCCTGGCATGATGTTACTTGATTCATAAGAAGACCATAAAACAAATCCATATGAATAAATCCAACCATTATTCCATCCTTTTGAATGAGACAATTAACCTAGGTCATGGCATTATGCGTTTTTAATGAAGTATATATCAAACTGTATGGGGAGGTTCAACAAATGCTAAAAATAAATGTTTACGTATTACTTTCGAAAATCACCATCACAATATATATATATATATATATATATATATGTCATCACTGTCTGTGTCTACCAGATGCCACTGTAGTTCGCCAGTAACTCCCTGCGAACTACAGTGGTGAAAGAACTACATATCCATACATTCCTTCGAGCACACACACAGTCTTTCATATATACTGATTTGCAATCACAGCTGTCTCTGTTCACCGTTGATTTCCTGGACTTTATACTCAGTCATTTAACCTCTGTTTGTTAGTTCGTCGTTCGTACTTGTTGGTATGTGTTCTTGAATCCAGTTTAGTATCCTGTCCTAGTTGCTGAGTCTAGTTAAAGGCAATCTGTTTAGTTCCTTGTTTGTTTGTTTATTTGATACTTTGTCACTTTGATTTTTTTGGATTTTTGTTCTCTGTCACTGCACAATACAACATTAAACTGCACTTGGATCCTACACCAGTTTTTGTTCCTGTTTCATTCCGCCAAATGTGACAATTTATATATATATATATATATATATATATATATATATATATATATATATATATATATATATATAATGAGATCAATCTCGGTAAGCAGAGGTAAGGATCTAATTGCAGTTTAATTTGATTATTCAAGCAGACAAAAACGGTCAATACAGAAATGGCTGGTACACAAGGACAATCCAGATTGAAGTAAAAAAAACAGGCATAAGGTCAAAAAAGGTGACAAAACAGAATCAAACAATAAACAAGGCTAAGGTCAATAACAAATAGGCAAAACAAAGAAAAGCACATCAAAGACTCCATGCTAAACTGGGGTATGTGTGGTTTATAAATAGTCTGAATGATGTGTGCATCTCATCACCGGTTATCGACAACTAGTGTGTATGACATGTCCTGATAAGCTTTGTAGTTCCTTCACAAGCCGTGTAGTTCACCAGCTATCTGTCAGGAGTGGATCGCTGTTAAACGTGACAGATGCATTTTTTATATTATAAATTATTAAAATATTGATGTCTGTGATACAGCAAGTCCAGTGATTGTTATCTACACCATGATTTTATATAAAATCCACTTTAATGTGTGATTAAAAAAGTGAAGTGAAGTGAAAATATTCATTTATGACAACTAAAAAGTGGTCATAAATGAATATTTTCTCAATTCAATTGTGTAGCAGCTCGAACCCAGAAACAGTATTTAATACATCATGACTTAACTAGCGGATTGGCACTTCTTGCAAAGTGTGTACACCCAGTGTGCTGGCCAAATTTTCTCATTCTGGACCCTATCATGATCACCTAATCTCATCCTGTCAGTTAGCTCTATCACAGTGGTACCATTGTGTGTAAACACACGTGGACGATGATGATTGTTTCTTTGCCTGATTTATTTTAATCCAAATACATGCTGAAATAACAACAGCGTACTAATATAAAGCAGACCAGACAAATAACTGGGGAAACTGAGGGATTTGCATTCAAGATAAACTGAAAAGGAACACCTGTTAATTAATGAATGAGTGGTGAGAAACAGAATGGGAACACACCATACAGGGCAGACACGTGACAGTATCAACATTGATCCGCAAACATAAACAGAAGCTCAATCATCGCGCCGTGACAAACCTCAATACATCTTGTTGAAGTTTAAAAGAGCTGCTTAAGACGTACAAATAAACAGCATTCGGCACTGATCAATGTTTATACGAGAATTAAAGTCAAAAGCGATTTTGATTTGCGGTAGACTTGGAATAAACTGCAGTTCGTCTAGAAGAAATCTTGTTGTGAACTTTTTTAAGGATCTCAACTTTCAGAAGGTGGACAAAAAATGTGATTTGATTTAATTTTTTTTCATCTGAAGGTGAACTGATATCTTATGGGCTTATAATTACTTGAAGGTGAGTAAATAATTACAATTTCAAGAGTTCACACTTAGCTGATTATGCTTGTTTGGCATGCTGTCCTGGGAGAGAGCACTGGGCTTAAAAGAAGTTGAGCCCTGGACTCCTTCCTGTTTGCAGGGCGAGAGGGGAGATTGAGTTCAGGTGGATCTCAAGAACTCGCCTGCTTATTTGATAATTTTCGGATCAGCAAAAAAGGAAGGAGACAAATGTCATTTGCTTTCCATTTATTCAAAAATATTACTGCAAAAACCATTAGCTTTAACAAACAGAACTTAGAACCTGCAATTTTTGTAAAAATAAGAGTCAAGAAAGAACCTGAAAAAAGCTGAAAAAAATATTCATTACGAAAAATTATAATGCTAAGTATAGAAATTTAACATCTTGCACACCATATCATATTTATCTTTAAATAATGATTCAACAATTCACACAAAACTTCACATTTCATTATAGGTGTATTATTTTTGAAAACCTATTCAACCTATGGTTGTTTGTCACCACCCATGGGTTACACTATGCAATAGCTTTCACCAGCATCAAAAATTCACCAGCGTCAAGTGCATTAAATGGGGATTTTAATCTTTACCATAAACATCAGTGTTTATATCTGAAGTATAAACTGTTCTCCCAGTACTTCTGTGTTATTTAATTGTTTGTAACTAACTGAAAAAGTGTAAAAACCGAATCTCTCTTGATTAAAAGCAGATTTGAATGCAGTACTTATAAGGATTAATAAACATAACCAAATCATTATCATTTATCATTCATTTTGCGCGGGTTTGAATTGAGATCACAATCTTTTAATGTTCAATTGTGCAGCTTTACACAGAACAAATGAATGCAGGCTAAACAAACAGTGAGAGAAAAAAAACATTAATTAATAACCTAATTTCAAGAGTTCGCACTTAGATATTGTTTGACAAATGTTAGCAGGTTTGGCATGCTGTCCCGGGAGAGAACCCTGAGCTTGGAGATAATTGAGCCCAGGGCTCCCGCCTGGTCGATTGAGCATGTAAGGGGAGTACGAGATCAGGTAGTTTCAGAGAGCTCCCCATGGTAAAGGATGAAAGGGGAAGAAGGGGTGGATGGGGGGTTTCTTCGGAAAATGAAGAAAAGGCAGTCATTTTTTGCTAGGCTACTTATAGTGAGTTTGGATTAATCTAATTGGCTAACCAATGACTGTAGATGAGAGACCAGCTGTGGTCAATCATATCAGGTGCTCCTTTTGAAAATATTTTGTGAAACTTCACTAAATATTTAGGTCCCACCACAACTTT